TGCCGTCTGTTTTCTGAATGAGTTGCATCTTTTTGTCCTCCTGTTCCTCCATTACTGCTTTCTTTGTGGTGGTTCTTTTCTTTTCTTTTTTTTTTTGTGGTGGTTATTTTCTAGTGGAGCAATTTAATTCCCATGTTGTTTCTTTTACTATAGATTCTGGGTTATAGTCTTACTGGTTTCCCTGGGAGCAATTAACATCTTAATTTATAAAATTCTTATTTGGATTAATACCAAATTAATTTCAGTGATTCACAGAGACTTGACTCATCTGTGGATCTGTTCCATTACCCTCCTGTATGCTGTTGTTATATTCATTATCCACTTTATGCTTTTTGTGTTCAGCAACACAGATTGTGTCCTTTTTAATCAGATAGAATAAAATAGTACATGGTTTATATGGTCTTCCCTCATAGCTCAGTTGGTAAAGAATCCACCTGCAATGCTGGAGACCCCGGTTCGACTCCTGGATTGGGAAGATCCCCTGGAGAAGGGAAAGGCTACCCACTCCAGCAGTCTGCCCCGAAGAATTTCATGGACTGTAGTCACAAAGAGTCGGAAACAACTGAGTGATTGTCACTTTCACTTTATATGTTTATCCTATATACATCTTATGTACTTACATTTACACTGTTGTCTTTTCAGCATAAAGGACTCCACATTTCTTATAGGTAGCAATGGATCCTCTCAGGTTTTATTCATTGGTAATGTCTTAACATCTCCGTTACTGAAGGGCGTCTCTACTAGAGAATTCTCGGCTGACATTCAGTGACTTTTAGCAGTTGTTTGTTTTGTTTTGTTTTTTTTGACTGCATGGCATGTGACTTGCTGGATCTCAGTTTCCCAACCAGGGATGGAACCCCAGGCCCTTGGCAGTGAAAGTGTGAGTCCTAACCGTTGGACCGCCAGAGAATTCCTTCTTTCAACGCTTGTAATGCACCATCCCACTCATGGTGCCCTTAAACTTAGTGGGAGGTTTTGCACGCGATCTGCCACTTCTTTTTTGTTGCTTTCATGATTCTTTGTCTTTGGCCTTTGAATCATTTTATTATGATGCAAGCTTATTCATCGTATGAGGGCTTCTCTCATAGCTCAGTTGGTAAAGAATCCGCCTGCAATGCAGAAGACCCCAGTTCAATTCCTGGGTCAGGAACATCCACTGGAGAGAAGGGATAGGCTACCCACTCCAGTATTCTTGGGCTTCCCTTGTGGCTCAGGTGGTAAAGAATCCGCTTGCAATGCAGGACACCTGGGTTCGATTCCTGTGTTGGGAAGATTCTCTGGAGAAGGGAAAGGCTACCCACTCCAGTATTCTGGCCTGGAGAATTCCATGGACTGTATATACAATCCATGGTGTCGCGAAGAGTCAGACAAGACTAAGCAAGTTCCACTTTCACTTTGGGCTTCCCTGGTAGTTCGGTTGGTAAAGAATTTGCCTGGAGTACAGGAGACCCAGGTTCAATCCCTGGGTTGGGAAGATCCCAGGGAGAAGGAAATGGCCACCCATTCCAGTATTCTTGCTTGGAAAATCCTACGGACAGAAGAAAAAGAGCCTGGCAGGCTACAGTCCATGAGGTCACAAGAGTTGGACACGAGTTAGTGACTAAACCACCAAGCTTATTCAACTTGATGTTTAATCAGACTTCCTGAACATTGTGGTTGTGTTTTCCATTAAATTTGGTGAGATTTTGGCTAGTACTTCACATGGTCTCCCTTTCTCGTGTCTTTTTGGAGCTCTCTTTATGCATGTGGCAGTACACAGGTCTAATTAGGCTCTGTTCATTTTTCTTCCCTATCCCCTTGCCTTTTTTATTTAAAAAAGAAAAAAACTGTTCATCAGACTGGAACTCAGTTATCCTGATGTCTTCAAATTTGCTGCTTCTGTCTTCCTCCTATTGAAATCTGTTTGTGTCCCCACCCCCAGTTAGGTATTAATTCCTTATTTGGAAATAAGGTCTCAAGTTTGGATACACAGACACAGAGAAGACCACATGATATTGAAGGCAGAGATTAGAACAATGCAAAGGCAAAGAAAACCATGGAGTTCCAGAAAATGCCAAAAGCTAGCAAGCAAGGAAGAATTCATTTTCTAGTTTTTCATAGGGGGCATAGCCCAGCCTACAGCTTGACTCCAGATTTCCATCCTCCAGAAGTGTGAAACAGTACATTTCTGTTGTTTTAAGCTATGTGGTTTGTAGTGATTTGTTACAGCAGTTCTGAGAAACTAATGGAAGCCCCTCCAGTGAAATTTTCAGTTACTTCCATCCTTTTCAACTCCAGACAGTCCATTTGGTTCTCTTTTATAAGTTTATCTTCTTTATTGCTATTTTGTACTTCAAAGAATATAATTTTCATACTACTGTTCAGTTTTTTAAGTATGATTTCGATTCTTTGAACACACTTAAATTATGTTCATAGCAGCAGCTATTTACAATAGACAAGACATGGAAACACCAGATGAGCGAGGGTACAGAGCAGAACAGAAGGGGGTCCCCCGAGATCTTCCACCCAGAGCAGGTCAGCCCCCACATACGCTGAGAGGGAGGAGGGTAGGAGAGTGGTGTGCAGGTCATGAGGCAGGTGCTTAAGAGTGTGCCCTGGAGACTCCAGCAAGAGGCTCCCCTAAGCCTGTCTCATTCTGAGGCACTCATGGGGGAAGGCGTCCTGCATTCACATATGTCCCTTGCTCCCGACAGTCTCAGCCCTGGACAATGTTTCTGGCAGGACAGTGGCCCGTCTAAGATGTCCATATTCTAATCTTTAAATTCTACCCACATGTTGCCTTATATGTTTGGAAAAGAGAATCAAGGTTTCAGACAGAGCTAGGCTGGTTATCAGCTAACATGAAAATAGGGAGAATATCCTGGATTATCCAAGCAGTCCCAGCATCATCACAAGGGTCCTTAAAAGTGGAAGTGGGAGGCAACCAAGAGTCAGTGTCGGTGTGATATGAGAATGACTCCACTGAACATTGCAGGCTTTGAAGATGGAAGTGGGGCCCGGGAGGCAAAGAGTGCAGACAACCTATAGAAGTTGGAGTGGAGGAAACAGACTCCTGGAGCAGGAAAGGAGAGCAGCCCTGCTGACGCATTAAGTTTAGCCTGGTAAGGCCTGCATCAGACCTCTAACTCAGAGGCAGGAGGTTCATTATTCTTAGATTATATATCATTACTGCTACTTACAGCTTCCCAGGTGGCACAGTGGTACAGAATTTGCCCTGCAGGAGGCGCAAGAAACACGGGTTCAATCCCGGGGTTGGGGCGATCCCCTGGAGGAGGAAATGGCAACCCACTCCAGTATTCTTGCCTGGAGAATCCTATGATCAGAGGAGCCTGGCGGGCTACAGTCCATGGGTCTCAAAGAGTTGAACACAGCTAAGCACACACACGTGTGCACGTGCACAAACACACACACACACTGTTACTTAAACCAAATTCATTCCTAAAAGACCTTAAATTGGTCTGCCCAACACCTACTCATGAAACTTAGGTAGTACTGTGATATATTGGAGAAAGCTTATCTGCTAAGCCTTTGGAATAATACAGCTTTCCCCTAGAAATATTTGATACCCAGTTTCCTTCATCTGATTTTATAAAGGACTAGTAGGCTAATGAAATCAGATAGTGTCCTGGTCACAATATTTCTATCAATCTTAGAAAAGCAACAATTTTTTTTCTAATAAGTAGATTAAGAAGCCTAGGACCAGCATATATTTTTAATAATAAGACTGAATTCAATTATTTTTAACATGAATACCTTTATTGAATTTTAAATTTATAAGTCTAGAAATTAGTGTTACAAATAAATGATATTTGTATTGCATTTATAGAAAACATTCATAAAGTTCTTACTACTTTGAATTTGTTCCTTCCAAGTGATTTCTGTAGATCTCTCGAAACCTGCCACCATACATGTATTATCATAAATTCTAGCTTTAGAAGAGGATATGTTATCTTTAATCATGGAGACCATATATAGCTAGGTAGGACATTACCTGGACTGCAGTATATTTAAATAACTTGTTTTCATTTTCTTATAAGACAGGTTCAAACCTAAATGGTTAACCTATAATCAAAGCAATTATATTATTTTTAAGCATATCATTTTGGATATATTCAAAGCCTGTCTATTCTCCCTAACAACCCCACCTCAAAAAAAAAAAAAAACCACTCCATTTAGGAGTATAGGAAAATAAAAGTTTCACATGCTGTCTCTTAAGTATATTTAAAGGTAGGTTTAAGTGGAGAGAGAAAAAATGTCTGCTTTCAGGAAAAACGTGACAACTTTAACAGCTTATCTTCTGATGATGGTACAGCTATCACAATAACGTCACATTTAGAACATGCACAAGAGAATGAATTAAACAAATGCTAACAAAGCCCTTTTTTACCTTCTTTGTGGAAAAATGACAAAATATTATGTTCCTGAGCTGCCAACTTTCAAATCCTTACTACAGCTCCACCAGAAAAAAAATTATTACATGTGTACAAAGGATAAACTATTTCACATGTAGGTTATTTCTTCCTTATAAAATATTAAACACAAATTCCCATTTAATTTTGCCACTGTTAAATCTTTGCTGTCCTCAAGGAAAAGGTTGTTTCAAAAATAAAGTAGGTATGATTTTTCCAAGTAGAATTTACTTGTTCATAGACATATTCTCCATGTGACTAATCCCCAACCTTTACAGTTATAGCAGCTTTACTTGGAGCAGAGGATTCAGGCACATTGAATCATAAAGTCTTCGTAACACATTTGAGAGGTTAAATTGTGAGTCAAAACCTTCATTGTCAGTTCTCCCACCTGGAGAAGAAAAGCCTCATGTTTAAGTTAGTGGTTGTATTGAAAATAGCTTAAAATCTCTGATATCTCATCCATGTCAAGAATGGTTTTAAATTCTGATCATGCATCTGGAAAAAATATTTCAGATGTACAGATGCAAAATGAGAAGATAAATGTACAAATTATGTTTTTCAGCATCCCATTGTGCTTTCTTCTGTAGGTTAAAGGTAAAAGAGGTATTTTGACAGAGATTCATGTGGTTGTTGATGAAGACTCTGGCCCACCAAGTAAGCCAGCTTATGGGCATAATGGCAAGGAGCAGGAACTCGGATGATACCCTTTAGGAGAAAGAAAAAACATTTTTTTTAACCTTTATGTTTACTTCCCCTAAGTTTCAATTTTTTATAGATATCCAAGTTTCAAAAAGTAGATTCAATTTTGTACAGTTTCACAGATGTGAAGGAAAATCAGTATCAAAAAATACCACAGCTACTGTGGAAAACAGTATGGAGGTTCCTTAAAACCAAAAATAGAGTTACCACATGATCCAGCAATCCCACCCCTGGGTGCATAATCCAGAAAAGAAGAAAGCTTTAACTCAGAAACCTGCATGCACCCCAGCAACACTATTTATAATAGTCAAGACACAGAAGCAGCCTAAGTGTGCAGCAACAGATGAATGGACAAAGTCATGGTATGTTTCTCTGAGAGCATACTCACTCAGCCATAAAGGATGAAATGACACCATTTGTGGGAGCATGGAGGAATCTAGAGATCACCATGCTACCTGAAGTAAGTCAGAGACAAATATTACACTGTACCACTTATGTGTAGAATCTAAAAACCAGGGTGCAGATTTAACTTATTTACCCAGCAGAAATGGACTCACAGACACAGAAAACAAATCCATGCCTACCAAAGGAGAAAGGGCAGGGGAGAGGGATAAATTAGGAGTCTGAGGTTGACAGATACACACTACCAAACTGAAGGGAAAAAAAAAAAAACTTACCGAAAAATTGTAGTACATGTGGCAGAGTTTGTAAGTGAGACCCTGTATGGCATCCGGGCTCAAGTAAAGCGTGTCGTGGATGACGTTATAATGAGTGGGAGTGACAGTGCCGGTCCCTTCCCGCACAGACTGACTCACAATGAAAAAATCGTACCTAGAATTATAGAAGGTGTCGGTCTCACGCTTATTTTAGAAGAAAAATGATGTAGCAAACCTAGCCTCTTAAGTAACATTAATTTATAGAAGTCCATTCTACCGACTTTCCTTTATATTTAGAAGCCCAACTAACTGTTGAGCAATGGTTTGCTAAAGCACATCTACAAGAGACAGGGAAATCATTGGCATGATTAATAACACTCGTGGGATTTAAACTCAAAAGCATATGTACTGATGCCCAGAGGCAGCAAACTTCAAAACAGCACATTAGACGTGGTCACAGGTAATGTGATTCAGGAAAAAATAGGAAGTATCTGTCTTTCAAGTCACCAGAATAGATTCAAACGCCCTAAATTATGTGCACATCTACAAAAGACAGCGAAATTGTTGACATGATTAATAACACTCGTGGGATTTAAACTCAAAAGCATATGTGCTGATGCCCAGCGGCAGCAAACTTCAAAATAGCACATTAGACGTGGTCACAGGTAATGTGATTCAGGGAAAAATAGAAGTTTCTGTCTTTCAAGTAAGTCACCAGAATAGATTCAAACACCCTAAATTATGTAAGTGGTAAGGTAACCAATTTACTGTCAGTGTTGAATATTTATATCATTTTATGTTATGCTTCATGTTTATCCTATTTTTCACTGGTTTTGTTTTCTTCAGTCCTTTCCTGCCTTCTATTAGAAGAATCGGTGTTTCTGCCTTTTTTCAAATTGTGTTCGTTTCTCCCTCTCTAGTGGTATGAATGTCCTGTTTATTTCTTGCTGTGTGTTTTGCATAACTTTCTTATTTTCATAATTTCTTGAGAAGTTCAAAGTTAACCAGAAGTTCTAGCATTTCTACCTAACACCTGGGTCATCTTAGAATGATCGATATATTTGTCTGTTTTTTAAATTCTGAGAAACAAAATGAAGACAGAAAAAGTTACCGTATAAAACACAAATCATTTTTTAACCTTCTTTAGGCCAATTCTTCCTTTCTCATCGAAATCATTCAAACCTGTTTCTTGCTATTTAAATAAAAGGGAACCTTTAAAATAAAGGTGGCTTACCATTCTGTCCTAGTCACCTTTAGGTCAATAACTGTTCCTGGAGATGGATTGTTAAGTCTCCCTCCATCCTTTCCAATAAAAAATCTGGTATTTATTCGTTTCTTCACCACAATGAAAGTTAGTCTGACCCTTAAAAGATTATGATCACTTGTCACTATTTGCTCTGTGTTATCTCAGAAGCATTCAGAATGTCAGAAACAGCCCACACTTAGGAGCCATTAAAGGGAGTCTGCAGATGGCAGGCGGCTTTCTGCCCACCCCAGTTTTACTGTCTTAGCTCCACTAGCCTGATTCAGGCAGTATAGGAGGAGGTTTCAACTCATAGCCATTCAGATCCTAGGGGAGGGTCCTCTCCTCCCGAGGTCAGAATTATTTGTACTGCCTATGCTGGGCACCAGGCCTCACTGACAAGCAGATGAGACCAGAGAAGGGAACTGTGAGAAATCCCCAGCCCTGGGATGTACAGAACTCCAGGATGGAGAAGCTGTATAAGTGCAAACTACTGACAGGCTGTATTCATGGATGCTAAAAATATCAGAGGTTAGCAAGCCCTCCTCCATCAAGGTTTGGCAGGAGATTAGATAAAGAGAAAGATTCATGGGTTCCCATGTGGGGACACAACCTACTGCTTCAGGGCTTCTGGGGAAAGGTATGTTTTCTCCCCAGCCACCCACTGAAGGCTGCTGTATCCAGCTCTCCAATTTACACACCACAATACTTGCAGATACTCCTCCCCGCCCCCTGCCCCCCAACCTAAAATGCAAGACTTACAAAATCTGCTCTTTATAATGTATATACCTACTTTTGTCCTCTGTAAGCGTTCTCTAAGTAGGACTCCATCTGTTTTACTTCTTGATCTATCAGCGCTTGAAGCTGCCCGTCTCCCACTCCATCTCGATACACAATGATAGAATGTGGCAGAGATGAATTTTGTTCATACCAGAGCTTCAGGGCAGCTGAAAGGAAGTCAGAAACACATATAAACTGAACCATAACTTTTAGAACAAAGTGGGCTACTATTTCTGACAACTTCTGGATTCTTTTGTCAATATGGTGGCTTTCAGGACACTGCTAAAGTCCGCTGTCTAGTCCAGACTCAACAAGAGTATGGATACTTTGAGCCAGATAGTTCTTTGTGTTGGTCGGAGGCAGAGAGTGTTGCTGTCCCATGCTTGGTAAGACATTTGACAGCCACCCCAAACCTCTATCCACTAGACTAGATGCCAATAGCACCTCTGTCCTCCTGTGAAAACCAAAAGCGTCTTCACTCATTGCCAGATGTCCCTGGGCTGGGGGGCGGGGGGGGGAGGCGGGTGCTGGGCAAAAAAATCTCCACCAGTATAGACTCAGGCCCTCCAACCTCCACCAGACACTGACTATACAAGCAGGTCGTCAGCCCCTTGACAAGCTCCTGCCCCGACTGCTGGATGATACACTGAGAGAACCACCTGTTTGGAGAAAAATAAACCATTAGCTTGGAAAACAAGATTAATTCAGAATCAAAATGATGAGGTTAATCTACACGCCCCCCCTCCAAAATTCACTGTCAGTAGCTAAGGATCCAACTAAAGATCCATGCTTCCATGCCCCTGCAGTGATCCAAGTATTGGTCTCTTCCCATAGCTTAGGCATTTTGTAACATTTTGAATGCACAAAAATAGTAAGATAGAATGGAAACAGCCATTAACATTAGCTACAAATTATACATGCTTTGAATACTCTTGGCTCCTACTGTTTCGACTCCTGGGGAATTCCACTAGGTACAAACCCTGGGTTTTTCTGGAGACTCCTCCTCCTAGGTCAGGAGCCATCCATATAAATGGATTAAACAGCCCTTCATCCATATGAATCTGCTTGGAGGGAACAGTCTTCTTCAAAAGAGCAGTAGGCACTGTGACCAGTGCTCAGCGTATCGAGGACAATCACCTGTTTGTCTTGAGCATCTGTTTCCTTACTGCATTTTTGTTCACTTCAGAGTCTTGGAATGACCTGATAAATGGTCATGACATGTTTGCCTCGTCATCTGAATTTGCACTCAGTGGATGGGGTGAGGCATTCTGGCTCTACATTTTCACTGCCTTCTCAGGATTTACACATAGCAAATGCTTGTAAGACCCCGAGAGCCCTGCCATGACCGCCATCTGACCCACAGGACTGCCTGTGGTCACGTGGGCATTATCTTTAAGTGGTCACATTTGTCACAGTTGTTAGACAGCAATAGAGAATGGCCAGAAGCATCCACATAGAATGTCCTGGGAGCCTAACTTTGCCAGAAGGTCAGGAGAGCACATTGCTAAGAACCTGTCCCTGGATCTTGCCAGCAATGTGCATGAGGGCCACCTCTCTCGTCTGGCCTCCCCACTAAACACTCCCAAAGATTAACTCACCGTGTCAGGTCTGGATCGATGCTTGCTACAAATCCCGCAACTGATTTCCGTCGATGTTCAATATCGTGGAAACAATCGATACCGATGAACATTGCATTCTGCAGCTTAAGTTTTAAACAGGGTAGGAGATTGAGTTAGAACAGAACACAAAGCAAATTTACAATTTAAATAGGACCTTAACAAATTCTGCCACAGACAGATGAAAGCAAGAGAAGCCAACAGAATCCCCACGTACTCCTATGTCCACCTTCCAGAGGGCACCTCCCAGCTTGCAGTTCATCTGCAGAGCAATTTTTGTAGCTATGGTCACTGGCGTCTTAGGTCTGTCCAAGGTCCGTTTCAACACGCACTGGCTTGGAATTGGGTAATTGATGCACAGATATCTTTTTATGCCATCGTAAATTTCCTTGTTGTCGGTGGGCAGCAGGCAAAGGACCTTGAAAGGAAGCAAACATGAAACCCCCTGAGATGCAAGAACATGATGATGTGAGAAATGGATGCTGTGTTGCAAAAGCTATGTAGGTGGAGCACTGACAAAGTAGGGCCTGTTTAACAGATACCTGAGTTCATGAGCACAAAGGGTCTAGAATCACACATTCAACAACTGTGAGTGAATGTATGGAAGAAGACAGGCTGTGAGATATTATTTGGAAATACGCATCAGTCCCTTAAACCTGCAAAACCCTTTTATGCTGGTCATTTGATTTCCAGGAGTTTATCATGAAGTCGAAATAGTGGGTTAAGAACACGGACTGAACTATACCATCATCAGGATGGTCACCATCAATGGATGATCACTATGTGTGGGGCACTCACCAAGCATTTTACTTGATTTGGTTAATTATCTCAATGGTCTACTTAGATATACTATTATCCCCATTTTACCCCCCCCCAATACCAGCAAACAAATTTGGGGAGTTGTTATAGAAATTGCCTGATTTACAAGATTCCAAACTCTCGCCAGGACCTCTAGTAGGATACTAAGCAGTTAGGAAGAGAGGTTCCTGCTTAACTTGTTTCTGACTAATGGGAAAAAATCATCAATATATTCTTTTTAACATAATGATACTTACAGAAGTTTTTGGCAGACATTATCAGATTAGGGCAATTCTTTTCTCATTGTAGATTTAGCAAGTTTTTCTTTTTACATGAAAGGGTGAAGTGAAAGTGGCTCAGTCGTGTCTGACTCTTTGCAACCCCATGGACTGTATAGTCCAGTTCTCCAGGCCAGAATACTGGAGTGGGTAGCCTTTCCCTTTTCCAGGGGATCTTCCCAACCCAGGGATTGAATCCAGGTCTCCCACATTGCAGGCTGATTGTTTACCAGCTGAGCCACAGGGCCCATGAAAGGGTATGGGATTTTATTAAATCCATTACCTGTGTGGATCAAGAGAAATATTCACCATACTATAATTCTCCACACTAACCAGTTCATTTTTAGGAAAAAAATAAAATATCAAGGCCGTAAGACTCAAAGACAGATTAAAGAAACTTCCCAGATTAAAAGAAGACTAAAAAAAAATTTTAAAGCCTGTCAGATGCCTCAGGGGACCCTGGATGAACAAAGGAATTTATTTTGCCATAAAAGGGGACAATTGGTGGAATTCGAATTAGGTGTGTAGATCAGGTAAATGGCTGAGGAAAAACACATATATACACACTTTTGTGTGTCTGTGTGCTTATCCACTCAGTTGTGTCCGATTCTTGGCAACCCCATGGACTTTAATAGCCCACCAGGCTCCTTTGTCTGTGGGATTTCCCAGACAAGAATACTGGAGTGGGCTGCCATTTCCTCCTCCAGGGGTTCTTCCCAACGCAGGGACTGAATCCATGTCTTCTTCATCTCCTGCATTGGCGGGTGGATTCTTTACCACTGAGCCACCTGGGAGACCCATATACACACCTGTAGCTGCAGTGAATAACAACACGTGTATATACACACACATATTACATATATAGTGAGAAGGGAAGAATGGTTATATGTCGGTAGATAATAGAGGGCTTCCCAGGTGGCACTACTGGTAAAGAGCCTGCCTGCCAGGGCAGGAGACTTTGGAGATGCAGGTTTGATCCCCAGGTAGGGAAGATCCCCTGGAGGAAGGCCCGGCAATCCACTCCTGTCTTCTTGCCTGGAGAATCCCCATGGACAGAGGAGCCTGGTGGGCTACAGTCCATGGGGTCACAAAGAGTCGCACACGACTGAAGTGACTTAGCACAGCACAATACAGGTGGGTGTAGAGAGGGCAAAAGAATGTTTATAGAAATGTGATAAAACATACTGATTGGGAAACCTGAATGATGGCTGTAGAGAGAGTTGGACTGTCTTTGCAACTCTTCCTGTAAGTCTGAAAATATGAAAAGCAAAAAGTTTTTAAAATCTCACAAAAATAGTGGAGGTTTTGCACTGGATTGATGTGTACTCATTTTTAAAACAAAAATTATAAAAGATCCTCACAATGGGGACTGTGTTCACAGTTGGCATTTTTACTGCCAATACTGGATTTTGAGGAATAGGTAGTATTATGTATTAATAGAAGCTGATTACTTTATTCTTTTTGCCTTAAGTTATTAACTCAGTAGTAGATTTCTTTTCCTTCCTAGTTTAAAAAAATCTATAGGTTAAATGTGCTTTTATTTCCTGTATTTCTGCCTTATTCCTCCAACTCACACGTTTATAGGAATTAAATTATTTATTATTCAAACACTTATGCTTCCTCATCATGACCTGTTTAAAATAGTGATCTCTAATCCTTTTGTCTGCCATGAGGAAAATATTCCCAAACTATGTGAGTACTTATGAACTCTTCTAGTATTACCATGAATTCACTTTAATGTTTGAGAAGTTAACATTTAATTTTAGATATAAATATGTGGCTTGATATCTTCCCATCACATTCAGTGGGTTACTTTACACAGACCACTTCTGGCCCCCCACCCACCCAATGCCACACAGACTTTGAAATTTGTGAGTCACGTGGCTTCACCCCTGCTTATACACATGATAGGGAGACTTCCATTTATGCATAATTTTCAGTTGCTGTTTAATCAGTCATTCCAATTGTTTGGAGTGTATAAGATTATAGGCATGCTCTCCCCACCATCTGAAACAAACAAAAAAAAACCTTAAAATATTTAAGGGGCACCTTGAATAAGCAATATTGTTCCAAATAGCAAAGCCAGGATAAATGGGTAGAAGTGGGACATGTTCCCATTCAAGATACAGATAAGCTTTCTTAAAAGACATCCCCTCAATTAGAAAGGCAGTCTTTCACTTTGCAGGCAAATTCTCAGTGGACAAAGTCATGTCATGAGTTGGGATGCAGACCCACCACCATGGCCTCTTCAAAGCCATTCTAACATGTGAGTCTTTGCTGAGTCCCACCAGAAGCTTCCCTGCCCTAGCTAAGCATTTAAGGCTACAACACCGGAGAAGAATTAAGCATGGAGTTCAATCACAGTGACAGGAAGCAAGCACACAAGACTTACAAACAGGATTTCAAAAGTAAGACATTTCATTTGAGTATGATAATGGCTCACAGAAAGTAGCCATCACGCATGTGTGCTAAGTCGCTTCAGTTGTGTCCGACTCTTTGTGACCCTATGGAATGTAGCTCTGTCCATGGTGGTTCTCCAGGCAAGAATACTGAACTGAGTTGCCATTTCCTACTCAAGGGGATCTTCCCAATCCAGGGATCGAACCTGAGCCTCTTACATCTCCTGCATTAGCAGGTACGTTCTTTACCCCTAGCATGGTGACTCACAGAAGGTAGCATTCAGCGTAGCCTAAAAGTTTCCCAGGTAGAAGCTGAAAGGAGTCTAGGCTCTATGGATAAGACAATAGGAGGAATATCCTGATTTTGTGATCAAGAAACAAAAGGTTCCTTTTAAGAGCATTTTGGATGATGAAGAATGTGAGATGAGTTTGAACAAAGCACCCAAAGAAGGAAGGAAAAAGAAGTAACTTTAGTAATTTACATACCACATTTGTTGACAGCTTGGTCTAAGACACTGGATGGGGAAAAGGAAAAGTCCCAAGAGAAATACCAGACAAAAGAAAGGACACTTACTGGAAGAGACCAGATCATAGACTTTGCAGGTTATAGCTGGAGAGAGAAATAATACACACGTGACTACCATAATCCATATTACTCAATATTTTTATGGTGTTTTTCAGTTTGAGACTTAAAAATTAATTCTAAGTCCTCAAGCCTGAAAGAATGAGTATAACACAATGATATTAGGTAGTAGCTAAAACCCCAAAGTCTGTATTGAGCTACACTACAGGGGTAAATTTCTATTTTTTGACTGATTTGGGAAACCAATGGCAACATCTCAATTCAAAGATATTAATACATGCAAATGCAGCTCACTAAGGAGGGGGCACATGTCACATAGACACTTACCATCTGTGTTTTTTGTGAAGCGTGTTTTTCCAAGGTTCTTATGTAAGATTGGACTGTATCAGCTGCTTCGAGCCTAGAAAATAAGTATTTCATATTTCAAAAATAATGAACAGTGAAACATATAACAACATTTTACACAGCCAATGACACATTAAAACAAGATGAGCATTTCAGCTGAAAGTTTTTAAGACAAAACCAAGTTCAGTTTTTGGAAATAAGACTGGAAACTAGTTTTTACCATCTTCCCCCCTCCACCCCACCCACTTGCTAATTCTCATGTCTTCAAGATGAAGCCCAATAGCCAGAAATCTACAGATCCCAAGAGTCTGATTTAATACATGCAGGCTGGAGCAGACTTTACTTATTTGCTCACACACATTTCAGAGTTTGGATAACATGACAAGAGTCCTACAGTTTCAAAACCTTCCACTTTCAGATTGCCAGCAACCAGTTTTGAATAAAAAATTAAAAACAAATTTCTGCTCTACTTACAGTTTTGCATTTCTAACAGTTATGCCCATTTTGGGTGTCACTTTCTGTAGATTCTGCTGCAAGTTCAGGGCTGTTCCATAATTTCCCTTAGTATAGACTATTAGCCAATGATCCAGTGACATTGCTCTAAGTAATGGTACCTCCCTTGTGTTTTTTGACCAGTCTGCTTTATGGTTGTCAAACTGGAAGAGAATTCCAAGCCATGGTATAAAATTCATTAAAAAAGAAAAATTGACATCATCTAAGATCCTTTCCATTGTAAATGCTGTGATATTTCCTATTGAAACATTACCATTTAAACTTCAGTCATGATAGGATTTTTAAAAATACTTTAAGAATAAGTTTATTGTAACTAATATAAAATCTGATATGTTTTCAAACATGTTTTCTAAAAAAGTAACCCCCTCCCACTTCCCTCTTCCCCACAAGATACAGTTATAAGAACTTGGACAGAGTTCAAGTTTTAAATGTGAAATTCTCACTTATTATTTGATCCTTGAAAGCTCCAAAACATTATATTCTAAACAAAGGTCCATTAAAATCAAGAAATCAATAAGCCACTTGCTTTCTGCTGTCATTATGATGCTTATTCAAAATTCTGAAGGAGAACAGGTAACACAACACTGCATGAGACAAGTATTCAAACTTCATGGATTGGGACTTTCCTGGTGGTCCAGTGGTTAAGACTCTGTGCTCCCAATGCCAGGCTCAGGTTTGATCCCAGGTCAGGGAACTAGATTTTTCATGCTGCAACTAAGATCCAGTACAGCCAAATAAAAAAAATTTAAGTGTATGGATCTATGAAGTCACAAACAATTGAGATGGGAATACTGGGAGTATTAAACATTGACTTAAAAAAGCAATCTTGAAATCTTTATCCATTGTAGACTTCAGCAGCTGATCTAATAGCTATTTTTCCTTAAGATATAGGTTAGTAACACTGGAGTTTTACCATGGGTTATTCTGGGTTATTTTGATTTTAGATGTTTGACTTTTAAGGATATTGTGACTCTTAAGGATACATTTGGAAGATTATTTTGCTACAAGAGAATGTACACAATAATATTAATAACAAAGATATAATATATAATACATATGAGTTTACTATATGCCAAGCATGTTACATGCATTTTTATTGAATGCTGACTTGTCCTCTCATAGAGAAAGGACAGGTAGTCTGAAAAGAGTTATTGACACAACCAAGTTAGTCCCACTTTGGATTGTTACTAATTTGACCCAACTCTGACATAATTCTGAAGCTCTTACCATCCTTCTTCCTTGGTGAATTCTTACATCTTGCAAGGTTCTTCCAGAAAAGGACAAAAACCCCGCTTCGAGTTCCAAATTCCAATCTCGAAGCTCCTTCTGCACAGTATTATTTCTGAAAGAAAAGGTATTTCCACATGACCAAACCCCAGAAAATAAGCAAGGACAATTATCCATGTGCAAAACACAAGCCAGTATTTCTCTCATCTGAAGTTCCTCATTGCTTGTCCTTTGTGTCAAGATGCTACCAATAAACTCCCTAAACTCTGAAACAATCTTGTCTTTGTTCTCACATTTGTGCGGGCACTTAGAATCTATTTCAGTCTTACCCTCTCTAGGCCTCCTCTAACACAGCAATGACAGAAAAAAAGAGCTGCCCTTCCCTCCCCAATCTCCTCCCAAATATAATTTTCTTCCCAATCATCACTTTGTAATTGAAGAACTCTGAGATGCCAAGTGATAAACACAGGTCTTCACTTCATACTCCCAGACAGAAAAGTAGCACTTAGCCTGCATGGCTTGTGGGATCTTAGTTCACCAACCAGGGATTGAACCCATGTCCTCAACAGTGAAAGCAGAGTCCTAACCACTGGATCACCACGGAATTCCCAAGCACTTACTTTCTTAAAGCATCCATAAATGTTAGCAGTTTATGCTGCCTTCTATCTGGATCCATCCTCGTGTGGGCAGACAAGTCTCTCATCATTCTGTAGTCTTTACGCATGTCATCCGTTAAGCCTTCAAAAAAAAAAAAAATCTGAAAGATAACATGCTGAACCAGTAAGAATAGATTTGTATTAGAGGAGACTTAACTGTTGTGTTCAAAAGGAGGAGGAAATCAGAGAGAACACAGGTCTGGGTCATGTGGAATCTTATGAAAAAGCCTATAAAGTAATATTGGTGACTCTAAAGAAGGGGGGTGTCTTTTATGAAGATGGGATAAATCCGCAGTACCTGTCAGGTGGCATAGCTCAGGAACCAGCATGATAGGCTGATGAGATGTGTCCTGCCGGCTCTTTTTCCATTTGCCTTTGGTGATCAAAAGTGGCTGATTTAAGGTAGTGACCACTGTACCATACCGCTGTTGAACAGAACAACGAACACTGGCATGACTATTAGCAAAACCTTAGTAACGTCACGTAAATAGGTGCAAAGGTATATTTTCAGATCACAATTGGAGGCCCAGAGATGGTGTGATACAGTTTCCCCAAGTTGAAGAAAGCACCAAAAATATTCTAAATGTTCTCTTGATCTGATGTCCCAGGGGTCACTGATAAACATAGATGGCCAAGGAGAATAGGACACCCACCAAACTATAATGGAATCATTGTGCTACCCTTTTTAATATAGATGTAGATAGGTGAGAGACTCTCGGAATATGTATTTCTCACCACAGTAATGCCTTCAAACTTTCTAAAACATATTGAGAACTTTCAAGAGGATTCCCATTACTAATAGGGAACAAAAAAACCCTGGCCACTTTTTAGAGGGGCAGTTATACATCTATCCCCAGCATTCCTCTTTGTTTATTTGCCCTAAATCCTTAGCCCTGCTTCCAGTAGGAAAGGCATCTTCTAAGACTTCACATACAGAAGTTCCTATCCCTAAGGCAGCAAATTCTTGTACAACAGGGTGTCTGTGCTCCCAACCCAAAGTGGAGATTCTTCATAGATTTTGTTCTTAAGCTACTTGTTAGCAAGGTCCTCGTCAATAATGTTAGCCACATGAATTGCGGTATCATCTGGCATTTAAAGGCTTCCCTGATAGCTCAGTTGGTAAAGAATCCACCTGCAGTGCAGGAGACCCCGGGTTGATTCCTGGGTCAGGAAGATCCCCTGGAGAAGGGATAGGCTACCCACTCCAGTATTCTTGGGCTTCCCTGTGGCTCAGCTGGTAAAGAATCCACCTGCAATGCAGGCAACCTGGGTTTGATCCCTGGGTTGGGAAGATCCCCTGGAGAAGGGAAAGGCTACCCACTCCAGTATTCTGGCTTGGAGAATTCCATAGACTGTATAGTCCATGGGGTCACAAAGAGTCAGACACAATCAAGAGACTTTCACTTTCACTCAGTGGCATTTAAGCTTCTGGGAACTTCAAAAGGAGCTTGTTCCCAAAACGAAAACTCCAGGCTGTACACCCTGTGACTCCAGACTCATCGACAGGCCCAGAGAGCATGCTTTAACTTAACCCACTTCGGCAGAGTAATGATACTGAACTCACCACATCTGTACATGGAAGAGAACTGTTCACTGAGTTAGGTTCAGGTTATAGGACTGGATTTTAACACGTATGACTGGAAGTAGGGAGTCAGCCTGCAGCTTTCAGCCTAAGCGACCTAAGAGCCAGTAAGCTGCTGCTTCCTCTCGTCTAACGCCACAACCTTGGAGTCCACTTGTTAAGACAGTAGAGCCACAAAATGGTAACAGATGGGATCTCCAAGCCTTTGAGAGCCAGAAGTCTTCAAGCCATAAGTAAACCTTTTAAAGTCAACTCTGATATTTCAGCGTGCAACTCCATCAGTGCCTGTCTCATCCCAAAGCAGTCCCCAAGCCAGCTCCTCCCATAGACTCCCCCCAGTTCAGTAAATAATGCTTCCATCCACTCACTTCCTCAAATAAAGCCAAAGGGTTACATTTCAGTCACCCCTTTCCATCACTTATTACATCCAAGCCTTCACTGTGTCCTCTCCATTTTCACCTAACTTCTCCCACCCTGCTCCAGACCAACCACCATTTAAGTCAACTGATTTACCAACCTTCTCACGGGTGTCCCTTGCTCAATTTTTATCCCCATGCAGCCCATTCTCTGTACATTAGACAAGACATCTACAAGTATCTGCATAAGATGATTGGATGGTAACATCCAATTTCTCTCGAGAACACTCCACCCTTGTTTGGGCTCTGGATACACCATGCCCATCCTGAAAACAGTGTCTTTATACCATCTCTTCTCCCTCATCCACACCCAGCTTGCTCCTTGCTGACATTAGGTATCAGCTTCTCCGAGAAGCTTTTGAAGAATATGCAAACCCAGTAGCCACCAGACACTGTCCATAACACCACCCAGTTTTAATTGCCTCCATCTCCCCTGTAACTACTAGAATAGTTTTCTTCTTTCATCACCTCTGTCTGCCAAGCAAATGCAAGTCCCTTGAGAGCTGAGAACTCAATTGTCTTACTAATGTATACCCAAGATAGACAATAGGCATTCACTAAATGCTTTAGGGATTGAAATGAACAAGCAGTAAGTGTGAAACACAAACAAAGATGTCATAATAACCACCCCTTGAAGGGATGTCAGAGGGCTATGTACCTACAAATTCCACGTAGCTTTGGGTCCCAATATAATACAGGCTTTTTTAAGTGTCAATTTATAACTTTAAAAAAATCATCTATTTATAAGTTCTTTCCATTTGTCACATATATCTACCATTCCTTTAATTATCTTTCTTTTACGAGCCAAAGCTAGAAAACCAACCTCACGAACTGGCCTGAGTTTATGTCTTTGTGAGCACTCAAATTAAAAACAGAGGAATCCGTGAATTAGATTTAACATATAACAGGCATCGTTTCAGATTGTAGTTGGTCATTCTTTTCGAACCAAGTTCTATAGGGCTGAAGGTCCTCTGTAACGTTCTCATTTCTGAACTTCTACCGTATTTTGTTTTCTACCTAACAACCCATCTCCATGTTTAAAACTACCATAGCTACATCTAAGCCTGACAGGCAGGGCCATCTGGGAGCCATTCTAATTATTTTTTTAAAGTCAAGTTTCTTTCAATTATTGAGTTGCAAATATTCTTTATGCAGCTACACACAAATTATTTACTACATGAGATTTGCAAATATTTCCCCCATTCTGCCAGTTGTCTGTTCACCTTTATGACAGTGTTCTTAAAAGAACATTTTGTATTTGGTTAAGTCCAATTTGTTTCTTTTGGAATCACTTGTGCTTTTGGTGACTTTTCTAATAAGGTTTTTACATAACTCAAAGTCAAGTAATTTACTCATGTTTTCTTCTAAAAATTTTATTTAGGTCTATTTTGAGTTAATTTTTTAGTAAATTTGAATTAATTTTGTATATCCTGTGATGAAGGGGCAGGTAAATATACAGCTATCCCAGCAATAGTTGTTGAAAAGACTATTCTTTCCTTGACTTAATTGTCCCCATACCCTTGTCAAAAAGTCAACTGACTTTAATAGTGAGGGTTAAATGCATGAATTCCCCATTCTGTTTCACTGATTTTTATGTCTATCCTTATACCAGCATCACACTGTCTTCATTACTGTAGCTTCATAATACGGTTTGAAATTAGGAAGTGCAAGTCTTCCAACTCTGGTCTTCTTAAGATTGGATTTAAACTTATTTAGTCAAAATGTCACCCACTCCAGTACTCTTGCTTGGAAAATCCCATGGAGGGAGCAGCCTGGTGGGCTGCAGTCCATGGGGTCGCTAAGAGTCAGACATGACTGAGCGACTTCACTTTCACTTTTCACTTTCATGCACTGGAGAAGGAAATGCCAAACCACTCTAGTGTTTTTGCCTGGAGAATCCCAGGGACGGGGGACCCTAGTGGGCTGCTGTCTATGGGGTCGCCCAGAGTCGGACACGACTGAAGCGACTTAGCAGCAGCAGCAGCAGTCAAAATGTCCTCTTATCAATTTAAGATTTCTAGTGTAGAGCGAGATTAAAAATAAAGACTTCCTTTAAATGGAAATTTACTACATTATAATTAAGCACAAATTTTAAAAAATAGCTATAGGCAAAGAGAAAGGAAAATAAATTTGGAAGCAGCATACATACCCTCATGTGCAATAAGGGTTCAGAGCCAACGACCAAATTTGCAGTAGGACATACAAGGACTGCCGAGTTTACAACTGACACATACTTCTATGTCGGGGAGAAAAAGTATCTAATGATTCTTACCATTTTCATGCTATTTCTGCTTCTGAATGTCAACATTTAATCATTTTAAAATCCAAGGAACGTCTCTAATGAAAAAAAGTAAAAGTGATTGCATAGGTTTTCAAAAAGCAGACTTACTTTGTAAGAACAGATGACCCAACTAATTCTCTAAGAATTTTCTCTTTGGCATCTTCTCCTCTGGCTTTTTCACGAGTGTGTGATATTAAATCATAAGCAGTTTCCATTCGGAGCAGTTTATGGCTCACATCAGCACAGAGAGTAAGACCGATTTCATATGGAAGAATAGAAGTAACATAGCCAGGCCATATTTCCAACCTGCAAACAAGTTAGGTGTGGGTGTCAAGATCCCGGCTCTGGACATAAAGCCAGGTGGTAGGGGCCCTAAACTCACTGTCCAAAATGGGTACTGTTAGTGTCAGCTTTAGTCTCTTATTTTTAATAATCACTGACCTTTTGAAGGACCTTCAAATAGAGATTTTTACCAGATGTGCTAGTTAGAAGTAATACATCTTTGTTAAATCATTTTTATTACCACTTACAGGCTTAAACTATTGTATATACTCATGTGAGACTATATATGATATATAAGATGTAAATTATATACACATATACCAATGAGTAATAGATGCACATAGAGGCAAGTGTTGGATTGACTATAATTTCAGAGAAATTATCCAAGATTCAGATGATTGATTTCCTAAGGTTTATACAATAACTGACCATCTTAAAAGTTTATGTTTATCATGCCAGGAATTTTTAGGGTAAATAAATTTTTAAGTTCAAATTATAAATTCAGTTGTAACTTAGTTGTTCACAGTCATTGGAGAGTATTTAAAAGATCACTTGTAAATCATACACCAGTGCAGATGAGCAACTTTCTCAAAGGTTTCTATGATTATGTCTATAGAATGTGAGACTTCACGCTTCATAGACCACTTCATACATACCTATACTCATTGAACTCAGTCTTCTTATTTTTATTGTAATAGTTGCGACCAATTTGGTTCAAATCCATCTTTTCCAACATTCTAGAAATGGAAGAACAGGTTTTGTTGAAAGTGCAGTGAATATTAGTAAGCATTTGTTAATACACATAAGGATGCATTAGAGAGGGAGATGATCTGTCAGTGGTTTTCTTTATACTAACAACATAAAATGCCTGATAATGACTATTAATGACACGTAAATTATTAATACATTGAGGTGAATACTGAAGTTAATTTAACCTCAAATTTTCTCTTTCATAATATAAGACAGTATTACATGGAAAGGCCATCAGTATGTATGTCCTTCGTTCCTAGAAATGAATCAAAACATCTTTTGTAGTCGATGTGTTCCAAGTTTTAATTTTGACTATTTGTTCATTACCGCGAGTCTAGAACAGACAACAGGTATATTTGCTCTAGAAAGGAATAAGCATGGGTATAGATAGCTGATGTCTATTACTTCTCCGAGACAGGTTCCCGACAGGGAAGGCAGAGGTGGGCAGGAAGTGGAATACTGGAGAAACCCATGGAATTTGCATGTGCCTAGCAAAAGCCCCAGTGTCCTTTCATCTCAGAAGATCCTCTACCCTCTCAGAACTCGGGACTTGTCAAGAACACAGAACGCTGGAAGCACGCGGCTGTGTTCGGCATCACTGACACACAGCAGTGTGGGTCAACTGAATCTGAAGGAAACCATCCTACATACTTTCTAAAGAGAATGTTGTAATAGCGGAGGCAGTCTGGAGAAGTGGTCTGGAGTTCTCTGGAGAGCTCGAAGGTTATCGTCACAGGTTCATTTTTCAACTTGCTGACCACTTCCTTTTTCTGAGAGGAAGAAAAAAAAAAAATTCCCTTAGTTCTTCCAAGGAAACTAAGCTCCACCGTGACAGATTGAATTGTCACTTGGCTGCCCAGCACAGCACAAGTGTTAGGAGCAGTCTCTCCCACAGAAAGGCAGACGCAGGCAAAAAATGGGATGGGCAAGACCAAAGTGAAGAGCCAGAATTACATGTGCAAGTCAAACTTTCATTTAAGCAAGTTGCTATGAATTACTTGACCCTCTACCGTAGAAGTTTATAGGATAAAACAGTAAGTCCTTCTCCTAATGTGTTTTTTTCCTCCTGTTTAAAAAAAGAGAGAGCGAGAAAAGGAAGGAACAGGGAATTTTAAAAATTGTTTTTTCTGCGGTTTAGTTGCTCAGTTTTATCTGACTCTTTTGCGACCCCATGAACTCTAGCCCTCCAGGGCTCCTCAGTCAATCGGGTTTCCCAGGAAAGAATGCTGGAGTGGGTTGCCATTATTCAACTTCAATATCAGCATTTGAGACATATTGTGCCATCAAAAAAGGTAAAAGTTATATTTTACCTTCATGTAAAATAAATTCAGTTTAGGCAGTGAGATGAAACACTAGATACTGTCAGTGAAAATTAAACATGGTACGTGGGTCAGTTACAAGTCCTATGGGCAAGGAGTGTTTAGGATTTCTCCACAAACTGTTGCCCGGAATGGTGAGACTTTGGCTATTCTAGAGTGAAAAATGGGAGAGAAGAAGAATGTAGAATTCTACTACAGATGTGGCAGAAGAACGTAGAAAGAATGTAGGAAGATGTAGAATACTACTTAACCGTTTCCCCTAGCGAGTGAGGTAACAGCAGAGATTTTCCATCGTATATACAACGATTTCCCAGGAACTTTTCAAGTTCAGAGAGTAAAGCTTCCCGTTTGCTTCCATCCTCTATGTCTGGTGTGTAGATGACGTTGTACTTGTATAAATGCTTCTGAGAGCAAGACTTGAGCCGGACATGATTCGAAAATAGCATTACCGGGCTACCTTGCGTGCCTGGGAAAATGGAACCCTGTGTCAGTCGTGAGATAGTCTGGCTGATCAGGCCCCAAACAGACGACCTGGACACCATGGTATTGAGAGCCAGAGTCACATCCAACAAGGGAGGTGGTCAGCAAACGACATAAGCAGTTATATACGCCTGGCATCCAGAATCCCTCACCTGAGTTCAGGTGAGTCCTTATGCAAACCCACATTTAGGAAGTTCAAGGAGACAGGTATTTAACAGAGGTGTTTAAATACAGGTACTTAACAGATATATTTCTATATTTAACAGAAATATCAAAAGAAAACGTCTGCAGCACAAATGTCCCAAAAGCTGGGGGCTGGGGGAGGGGAGCCACTGTATATAATAATGTTTTATTTTGGGGGGAGGGTGCAGTTTATTAATCAGTATGTCTCAGCACAACCAAAAAACTGGGTCATTCTATCTTAGTGTGTCTATAAAAGGAAGAGAGGAAAATGAGTTATCTCCAGGACTCTAAAGTCAGTCTTAATTTCTGCAAAAGTGAAAGTTATTATAAAAATGTAAGAATGTGAGAGGGTACCTCCACTTAAAGTGATGGTATAAAGCATCACAGATACTTAAACAACAACATAAAATTGTATTGTTAATGGCCAGCATACCTTTTGTCGACTCTCTAACGTGGACCAAATTCTGCCGAGTATTTACCACAAAGTCTTGATAATCTCTACCAACATCCCTCTTCGTCCTCAGCAAGGATCCCTGTGATCCAGATGGCGGTGGAAGTTCTTCAACGTACAAACAAGCATGACAGTTGTTAATTTACACAAAAAGGCGAATGTGCCTAGAAAGGACAATATTACACCCCAGCTATTAAGATTTTTTGAAGTAGAAAGGATAGCAAAGGAACCAAACATTATTTAGCAATGGGTCATCAGAAAAGAGGGCTTCCCTGGTGGCGCAGTGGTAAAGAATCCGCCTGCCAATGCAGGAGACCCAGGTTCAATCCCTGGGTCAGGAAGATCCCCTGGAGAAGGAAATGGCAACCCACTCTAATATTCTTGCCTGGAGAATCCCATGGACAGAGGAGCCTGGTGGGTTATAGTCCATGGGATCACAAACAGTTGGACATGACAGAGTGACTAACACTGCCATGTATTAAGCATTCTCTGCCCCTCACGAATCTTTCTTCCTCCCTCCTTTTACCTGAAGGCTGAGACGTCGCTTCTGCTCCTGCTGGTGGCCCAGCCCCAGCCACGTGTCTAACACCCGTCAGTGACTGGAGTCTAGGCTGGATCTGACGAGGTTGCTGAGCCTGCATGTTTTTGGGAGATAGAGTAATGTTATCCATATGCTCATCTATCATCCCCAAATTATCATATGCCTGCCATGTGCCATAATGCATGTATCAGGGCAGAAGGCAAAGAAACTTCCTCGAAAAGCTTATATTCCAGTGACAGAAAATAAATCAACAATTAACTTACATAGCGTGAATATGATAATTGCTGGGGAAATGAAAAAAAATAGGAGGAAGCCAAGTATGAAAAATACTGGAAAGGTGGGGTGTGAAGGAGGCTGGTGGTCTTGACTCATGGGGGACAGAACCTCAGTGAGAAGCTGACACTGCAACAAAGACTGAGAGGAGGCGAGTTAACAAATTACACAAACCTCAGATAGAAGACACGGCAAAGCTCCTGAGGAAGAAAAGCTCAAGGGAGAGCAAGACGAAAGAGGGAGGGAGACGCAGGAGGACTCAGAGGGACAGTGGAGGGGTGGCCAGCTAAAGGGATTCGCCTCCGACTCTGAGAAAACGGGAGCCCTCACAGGTTGTGGGCGGAACGTGAACCCGAGGTAATCTGGTTCGATGCTGGGAACAGACTGAGGGTGGGGCCAGGGCAAAAGCACGCTGAGTTAGGAGGCCGTTCGTGGGCTCCAGCCAGGGACGCTGGTGGTTCGGCCCAGAGGGTAGTAATAGAGAGGGTGAGAAATGTTCAAAGACTGGATTGTTTTCTGCAAGTCAGGGGGGACGGAAGTACTTCCTGGTGGTTTCTGTGAAGTGAGGTCAAAAGAGGATAAATCCGAAGGTTTCGGCCTAAACAACTGTAAGAAGGGGATTTCATCAAGTGAAGTAGTTCAGAACTGTCTGGGAGGGCAAATCAGGAACGTGAGACATCCATGGGGATGTCCCTCTGTGCAGGAGAGGGGTCTGGCTGGAGATATAAACAGGGGAACCTGTCCACTTACCAGATCACACTTAACAGCCATGATACCGATAAGATGACCAAGGGTGTGAGCGCATGGACCAAGGAGAAGAGGCCCAAGGATGAGGCCCTGGGCATTTGAACAGCACAGGAGAGCCCAGCCAAGGGAAGCGTACAGCAGTGGCCAGTGAAGTCAGCAGAAAGCCAAGGGCGTGTGGTGACGGGACCACCACACAAGGAGGAGACGACCAAGGAGAGAAGAGGGCTCGACGGTTCCAAGTATAAGCGGTAGGCCAGGGCCTCGGAGGACTGACCTGGAGGACTGACCAAGCGGAGGATACTGGGGAAGCCTGACCAGAGCCTTTTCAGCAGAGGGATGGGGGAGACCCCTGGCTGGAGTGAATGGACAAGACGGAAATAAGGGCTGGCGTTCAGAGTAGACACCAGACTTCTTTGATGAGAAGCAAAGAGAAGGAAAGTTAACTGTGGGGAAAGCGGAATCCACGAGAGGATTCTTGTTGGTGGAAGTCAGCTCAGCTGGCTGTAGGCAGATGGGAATGACCTAGGACTCGGGAGATAAGAAAGGAGAACCGCAAGAGAGATTCAGGGGATGGAGAGTTGGCTCAGGGACCTCAGGCAGGAGCAGAGCCAGTGCCCTGGGGACTCGGGTGAGGGGCCAAGGCCAGGATGTGGAGATTCAGTGGAGGCAGCACCGAAGTTCTGCTTGGGTGCCATATTTGTCTCAGTGACGTAGAAGCTGATGTCGGAGGCTGAAAGTGAAGACGGAGGAGGAGCCACAGGAGTGTAGAGCAGGCAGCAGGTGGGGAGGACGGGGGGTCAACAGTCCTGGAGGAGAAAGAATGGGACCGCTGGGGTCATGGGACTGCCGGGCCAGCACCGGGATCAGTCAGAGGTTGTGAAAGCCAGACCCACCCACCCCTCCTCAGCACACAAAGAGGATAGGGGATAAGAGAAGACCGAGATGCCTGGAGACAGCAGGGATACCGAGTTTTAAGCAAAACGGGAAATTCTGTCCAACTCAGTCTGTTCACATGCTTGAATAAAATCTCCCGCTTTGAGGTCACTCCCCAAAGAGGAGTTACTGGCTGAGGCCAAGGGATCTGGGTGCCTCTCCACCCACTCAGGTTTGGAAGAAAGCTGTGTGCACCTGCGAAGACACACAGGAGAAAGGGGAGCAAGCGGTGGAGACAAAGCCCACCACAGGGCAGCCCAGCCGTAGTCTCCGCAGGAGAGCGCTCCATAGCAGGAGAGGAGCTATTCCAGCTGAGCCACCAGCCTCCCTCTTCTCTGGAAAGGCAGCACTTTTGCATAGAGGGAACAACGTGAGGGAGCTCACCGCTGTGCCTCGTTTCACTAAGTCAGCGAAGCTCAGCGGAGGCTCGGTTCCGGGCACTCGAGGCGTTGGGGGCCCCCTCGCTGCCTCGGGCGGAGCCGGCTCCGAGGGTGGTGTGTCCCGCCGTCTGCCTCGGGCGTGAACTCTGGCCCTGCCCGTCATTGCTGTCCTGAATCCGATGGCCCTGAAGGGGGAGGCCCTTAAAGAACACAGTTATGTCAGACATCTCTGCTCTGTTGCCTGGGAATTTTTTTTTTTTTTTACTGTAAGCATCACCTGATGCTTACACCACACCAAAAAAGGGACTGCCGCCAAAGTAGTCACAGGAGTGTCCTGTAATAAAAGATGGGGGACCTAGGAAGATACTCGTGGGAGTTTAAGAAGATTGTTGATTGTGATTCTTTTCCTCACATGCATTCACAAGGCACTATGGTCAAAGCGCTTGCTGGTATTAGTCGGGTGTGTCCTGAGTTCTTACCTACGAGGCATCCCCATAGCACAGTGAGGAGCCCAAATGTGCCCTAGACTTTAACACACACACACACACCCCTACCCTTAAATTGCTACCACACACACACCCACACCCACAAACTGCTAGTCCACACACCCACCCACCCACACACACACCCTTAAGCAGCTCACACACACACACACACCCTTAAACTGTGACTCCACCCTCCTGTCTCTGGTCTTGGCCCACACAGCTCACCTTCTGTCTTTCTTCCTCTGAGATTAGGAAGATCTGTGTGTGATGCGCCCACAGTTCTGTGCCCTCGGGTCCCTCTCCTCCAGCCCCACGGTGTCTGAACACCGATTTCTGCGGGTTTAGAGGTGCAGACCTCCTTTCCAAAAGAGTTATCCCTCCCCAGGACACAGCCCTGCGCCCCCAAAGCAGTCACCAAGCAGAGGCGGGACTGGAGAGAGGACCGGCCTGGCTGCCTTGAGGGATGCGCCTCACCGCCCCCGACAGCAGGGCCCACCCCAATTTCAATTTCAAGCCTGCTGCCCTGCCTCTTCCGGTGCCACCTGCATCCCGGCCCAAGTGCAGCCGACTCTGAGTCACACCTGGCGAGGTTAAGCGATGCTCTGAGCGTCAGTGGGAGGGGTTGAGGGGCTGCTCTGCCTGCCCTCGGGCCCACCTGATCCTGCCTCTCAGCCACTCACCAGTTAACCTGCCAGGTGACTTTACCAAATGATGTGCACTTGAAACTCCAGAAACTTATGTCCTTGGCACTTAATTGTTGTTGTTGTTGTTAAGCTGCTAAGTCATGTCTGACTCTTCTGCGCCAACCCCGTGGACTGAAGCCTGGCCCGTTACAGCCCAACCCTCTGTCCATGGGATTTCCCAAGCAAGAATACTGGAGTGGGTTGTCCTTTCCTTCTTCAGGGAATATCCCCAATCCAGGGATTGAACCCACATCTCCTGCTTGGCAGGTAGATTCTTTACCACTGAGCCACCTGGGAAACCCTTAGCACTTAATACTTGAACTAAATCCCTGCTGTTGCCAATGTGGCTAAGTTGTAGCTGCTGCGACCGTCTTTGGACTCTAACATTGGCGCCTCCCTAATCATCTCCTTGACACACACATCCCTACAAGAGGATTTGCAGTGATTTGTAAGCCAAGTATTGAAGGTCGTTTTTGCAGACGATGTTTGTTGTATTCTGCCTGCAATGCAGGAGACACAGGTTCTATCCCTGGGTTGGGAAGATCCCCCAGAGGAGGAAACAGCAACGCATTCCTATTCTTGCCTAGGAGATCCCATAGAGACTGTAGCCTGGCAGGCTACAGTCCATGGGGTCGCAAAGAATCGGACACAACTGAGAATATGTGTTAATTGTTTCCAGGTTTCGTCATTCGTTGCCTTTGCCACTTAAAGTAAAAAAGTAAAAGTAAAGTGAAAGTCGCTCAGTCGTGTCTGACTCTTTGCGACCCCATGGACTATACAGTCCATGGAATTCTCCAGGCCAGAATACTGGAGTGGGTAGCCTTTCCCTTCTCCAGGGGATCTTCCCAACCCAGGGATCGAACCCAGGTCTCCTGCATTGCAGGCAGATTCTTTTCCAGTTGAGCCACAAGGGAACAAAGTTTTTAAAATCATGAATTCTTTCTTTTAATATTTTCATAGTTGCATTGTTCTGCACTTAATTCCTTGATGTACACATTGAATATCCATTTTAATTACGAGAAAGTTACTGACACTTGAATAAACCTCACCTTACTGCTTTGAAATTCCTCTGTTACCCAACAGAAACCTGTGTGCACACTCAGCTCTGAAATGATCCTAAAGATTAAAAAAGCCTAAAAGTGCTCAAAAATTTCTGGCTGTTCTTTTAAATATATTTTTTCACATGAACTTTAGAATCCTTGCAATGAGTTCTAGACTATAAAAAATTCTGTCATCCTGTTAATTAGAGGTTGTATTGAATTTAGACATTGATTTAGTTCCCCCAAGTTGCAGAGTCCTCACTAAGATTTCCCTGGAATATCCTTGTGTCCAGGCTTCCCAGGTGGCTCAGTGGTAAAGAATCTGCCCGCCAATGCAGGAGATGCAGGAGATGCAGGAGTCGTGGGTTCGATCCCTGGATCGGGAAGATCCCCTGGAGGAGGAAATGACAACCCACTCCAATATGCTTGCCTTCGAAATTCCACGGACAGAGGAGCCTGGCGAGCTATAGTCCATGGGGTCGCAAACAAGTCGGACACGACTGAACGACTAACACTTTCGCTTTTTACAGACATCTCAGGTTAATGAATTTAGCTCTTTTCTATACATCGGAGATGCAAGAGTCTGGGCTCATTGAAATCACTCCTTTGATAAGCACCTTTGCTGTTGAGGGCTGGTGTCCTGTTCTTTCCCGTCTGGGTGTATCCCGGTGGTCCTGATGGTATCCTGGTGTCCCTGTCTGGGTGCATGGATGCAGGTGGCTACAATGGCTGAGGGCTTGGCAGTGAGCCATCAGTTTCCGTCCTGAGTTCCCTCGTGGCTCCTGGAGGAGAGGGCAGCTGCGTTGACTGATGGTAGCAGCATCCTTTGTTTACTGATAAGGCAGTAAAGGATTTTCATCCATGAGGAAAATGAGGAGACCGAAGCTGAGATTGACACAGCAGTGGAAGTACGGAGCCTTAACCACTGCACTCCCAGGGAAGTCCCAAGAAATCATTTAGCTTTAACTAGAATGTTCAGTTCAGTTGCTCAGTTGTGTCCGACTCTTTGCGACCCCATGGACTGCAGCATGCCAGGCCTCCCTGTCCATCACCAGCTCCCGGAGTTTAGATCCATGAAGGGTAAAGATCAATCAGAAGCAGATACCAAGGAATGTGGGACTTGAGATACAAATTAGATCCACACTAGGATCTGCCAGTTCCTGAAACAAGTGGGACAGAGCTGGAACCAGCCCCTAAGCCTCCTAGCCCAATGGGATGGACTTTTGTTGGAGGAGTGGGATGAGAAAGCCAGGGCCGTCGTTACTAATTGATTACTGTGCTCTTCCCAGCCAGACCTGGATGTGGCCTCAGATTTTCTTGAACAGAGCTCCAGAATTCCAGAACCAACCACCTGCAGTTGGACATCAGGATGAAGCCTGACCCAACGAACCTGTAACTCAGAAGACACATGCACCCTATGTTCACAACAGCACCATTCACAATAGCCATGACATGGAAACAGCCTAAATGTCTATTGACAGCTAAATGGGTAAAGAAAATGTGTGTGTGTGTGTGTGTGTGTGTGTGTATAAATACTGCTGCTGCTGCTGCTGCTGCTGCTGCTAAGTCACTTCAGTCGTGTCCGACTCCGTGCGACCCCATAGACGGCAGCCCACCAGGCTCCCCCGTCCCTGGGATTCTCCAGGCAAGAACACTGGAGTGGGTTGCCATTTCCTTCTCCAATATAAATACTACTCAGCCATAAAAAAGAATGAATAATGCCGTTTACAGCTACATGGATGGACCTAGAGATTATGATACTATGTGAAGTAAATCAGAAAGAGAGAGACAAATGCCATATGGTATCACTTATATGTTAAATCTAAAATATGATGCAAATGAAAGAAAGTGAAAGTCTTAGTTTCTCAGTTGTGTCCCGCTATTTTGCAACCCCATGGACTACAGCCTGCCAGACTCCTCAGTCCATGGAATTTCCCAGGCAAGAATACTGGAGTAGGCTGCCGTTTCTTTCTCCAGGGGATCTTCCCGACCCAGGGATTGAACCCGCGTCTCCTGCATCTCCTGCCTTGGCGGGTGGACTCCTTACCACTGAGCCATCTGTACAAAACAGAAACCAGCTCACAGACTTAGAGAGCAGGCTTGTGATCACCGAGGGGTGAGGAGGTGGGGAAAGGACAGACTAGAAGTCCGGGATTAGCAGATGCAAACTATTATACAGAGAATGGATAAACAGCAGGGTCCTACTGTATAGCACAGGGAACTATATTCAGTATCCTGTGCCCGTAATGGAAAAGAATATGAAAAAGAATGTGTGTGTATAATGGAATCACTTTGCTATACAGCACAAATTAATACATTGTAGGTCAGCTATACTAAAATAAAAAATAAGTTTTAAAAAGCTATGACTGAGAATGTTGGAGAAAATAATATACATGTATAAACATTTTCTTTATTCATTCGTCTGCTGGTGGAGGTATAAATTGCTTCCATGGATTAGCTGTAGTAATTGATGCTGCTATGAAAATGGGTGTACAAATATCTTTGAGATCTTGCTTTCAATTCCTTTAGGTATACACCTGAAAGTGAAGTTGCTGATAATTCTGGTTTTTTTTTTTTTTTTCGGTAATTCTGTTTTTAACTAAGCACCATGGTGTTCATTTTAAATCCCCACCAACTGTCTACAAAGCTAACAATTCCTCCACATCCTTATCAACACTTGTCTTTTGTTTCTTTGATAGTAACCCTTGTGTTGGATGTGAGGTGGCACCTCCTTGTAGCTCTCCATTTGTGTTTGCTAATGACTAGTAATGTTGAGCATCTTTTCACATGTTTGTTGGCCACTTGTATATACTTTTGAAATGTCTGTTCAACTCCTTTGCACGTTTTTAATTGTAACATTAGTTTTTTATTGAACTTAGAAGAGTTCCTTATATATCCTGACACTTCTTCTATATATCCTGAATATTAACTCCTTATGTTGTTGTTTAATCGCTAAGTCATGTCCAACTCTTTGCAA